CTGTACCCTACTGTTTCCAGGCTCATTCCTGTTGATAGCAGAATTCATTTCCTGGGGGGGGGGTGAAGGATCTATTTTCTTGCTTTATGTCAGCAGGTGTCAACCTGGATTCTGAAAGGTCATTTATATCCTCTGCAAAATGATCCCCTTTCTCTTGAAGTCAGCAGTGGTAGTCAAACTTTTCTGGCTTCCTCCTTGCACATAAACTCAAGGGATCTTGATTTAGGGATATGTGACCAGGTCAGCCACAACAGTTAGTTTCCTTGTTCTGGGACATCTTGCAAAATATATTTACAGAAGGCACATAATAGAACTGGTCCGAGTTACTAGAATAAGTGTGTGTCCATTGGTCACGGCTGAAAACCTTGGGAGGCCATCTTGGACTTCTACTCACCACATGTATCTACTTCCACAGAACCTGTGAGGCCCAATGGACAAGTGTACATGAAGGAATTGGTAGGAAACAAGTGTGCTTCAGGCAGGGTGGTTTACACTCGAAAGGTCCGCCACTTGAGTTTCCAGGATTGAGGAGAAAAGTGGTTGAGGAGAAGATGGCTAGGGTCTGGAAACAATGGCGCAGCTTGTAGATTCTGACTGAGGGCTTCTCTTTGATCTGTTTGGAAGCAGGATGGGCCACCTTCCTTGGATGACTGTCATTGATACTTCCCTGATGTAGCTCTTTGTTGAGGTGAAGACAGTGAGAGCCGGTGTGCAGCGGGAGAATAGCCTGGACGGGCCTTCTAGACTAACTCACTCAGGAACCATCTGCCTGTGGCTTCTGACTCCAAGCAGCCCGAGGTCTCGGAAACCACCAAGATAATAGCCTTTCCAAATCAGCCCAGCCAGGCTCTAATTAAGACCGATGGAAATGAATGCCCACTCCAGTTGCTCACCACATGTAGGCTGTGGCTGGGGAGCATTCCCAAATCCTGGGAGGCCATTTCTCTCTGAGCCTGGCAATGCTAAGAAATGCTCAGATAAAAACCAAGGTCCTGTTGACTTTGGGAGGGATGCAAATGGCCACTGTCTGTGACTGTGTGCCTGGACTTCTGGGCACCCTAAAGGTTGAACTGCTCATGAGGAATGGATGTTGCAAATGTGGTCTGGAGTAGTCACAAGGTGAGACATACGAAGACACTGGGGACAGAAAGCGAAAGGGTGAAGAGGTGTCGTTGCTCATTGCACATTGCTGTGGGAGGAGGGCTAATCTTCTGAGAATTCTTGGCTAGACAGCTCTTATTTCCAGCAGAATCCTTCTTCTCCTCTTCTGACCTTTTCTCCTTATTTTCCTCTGTCAGCCGTGTTTCTGGATCTTCTCAGAGCTTCCCCCAGAAAGACTTCAGCCAAGTTACTCCTCTTGAACAACTGTCATTTTTGAAAATCTGCCCAGTCTCTTTGCTGTGACTTCTAAAGAGAGACTTTGGGCCAGGATTCATTTCTGGGATAATAAGGGGGCCTGAGGGGAGAATGACAGAGGCAGGGACGGTACAGTACACACACACACAGACATACACACATAGACACACACACACACACACACACATACACATAGACACACACACACAGACACACACAGACACACAGACAGACACACACACACACACACACACACACCTTCTGAGAGATGCAGAGTCTGTGATTGCCGGCCAGTACCACATCCCTGACATCAGAGGAAGACAGACAGGAGGAAAAGCAGAGAGCAGAGAACTCATACTTGTATCACAGCTGTTGGAGTTCCTATACGAGGGAGGCATGGCCCTATTTGACCTTAGAGGAACTGACAAAAGATATGTGGGCAAAAGGCCAGGCCGAGCTTTCCAGTTTTGACATGTCTGTCTAAGGAAGTTCTGGACCAGAGAAGAAACTCCAAGATCAGCCACCAAGAATGCCAGGCGGACCGCAAATTCGAACTGCTACCTGGGATCCAGGTGAGCCTCGACACCACCATTGCCGATTAATGACTGTTTTCAGTTGATGCCCTGAAATAGTGAGGTTGACATTTCCCTTCTTCCTGTCCCTCTGCCTTTTTGGTATTCCAGACAGGTGCCAGAGGTGTCATCAGGGCTGATGGAGCCTGGCATTGGCTTGCTCGCTGTGATCAGCCGCTGACAACCTGACAGGAACACTTTCCCTGATTACATTTTAAACTTGGACTGTACCACACTTGGTTGCATTTCCAATGACAGAGACACAGGCAGTAAGGCAAGGAGGAGCTGTCATAGAAGGAGGTTTGCCCAGTCTTCAGGATCAGAGGACACACACCCAGCCTACCCGACACACAGAGTGGCCTCCACATTTCAACCTAACTAAAATCCCGACACCCAATACATTGCCATCGGGGGAGAACGGAAACATTCAAGACAGTGCATATACTCAATCTAGTTCTGTGTGAAACCGAAGAGGAATGTTCAGGGGTGGGGGAGCGGAAGAAGCCATTATGTACTCCCTACTGGAAACTAGCTCCGGATAGTTGTCAAAAGCATTTTTCTGACCGAATGTCATCATTTCTTAGAGTTGCAGTGAGAAAACAGAAATTATTACGAAGAGTGCGGGCCTGGCTCTTTTATTTTCCCCCCACCTTTCCTACTGTGGTTGATAGTTTTGCTGATAGGTTTGGTTTTGGATAACAATTAATGTTAGGTAATTATTGACAGGGAAGCACCACTTATATGTCATTAGCCTTTAACTACTAGCAGGGTCATGGCTACGAACAAGGACTTGTCTGTGCAAGACACAAACAATTGGTCAGGTCGTTCATTATTTCTCCCTTTGTTGCCTATTCTAAACACCAGCTTGGGGGTTCTGGGTGCTTTCTTGGTCCTGTCCCAAGGTTCCCAAGGTCTATTAACACACCCATACATCTTCACAGTCATCAGAGCACAAACCAGTAAGGGTCGGTGTGGTTACAGTAGAACTTTTGATATAATTCAAATCCAATGAGTAGTTCCAGGCACTTGGAGACAGGCTGGCCTCAATCTCAATGAGGAGATGAGGATGACCTTGAATTTCTACCTGCTACATCCTGAGAGTCAGGATTACAGATGTGCACCAGTATACCTGGTTTGTGGGGTTCTGGGGGTCGAACCCGGGGCTTCATGAATTCTGGGAATGCTTACTCTACCAACCGAGCTACACTGCCAGTGGGCTCCATTTTTAACACTGGTGCACCTCTAACACATTTGCTTATTAATACCATCCTGTTGTTCACAGAGCTCTTCAGGTGGAGGGAATGAGTTTTTTGCCTCCAAGGTCAAAGTTCAACACTATTAGGTGCAGGTGAACCTTTCATAACATCCCCAGACCTTGCCTGGGAGACTGCTACTCTTAGCGATCTTCTGAAGACAGATAGCAAGGTCAGTAGCCCCCTCCCCCCCACTGATCCCTTGTTAAATGACCAACATTTCTGGGCAGTAAATTGTGTGTTGACACATATCATTGTTAAAAAGCAACCTCAAAAATCAATTACTCAGCTTGGCGGAGGAAGATTTTTGCTTTTCTCCCAAAATATTGCCATGACATCTCCTCCAGGGCCTGAGTAACACAGGGAAATTGAAGGTGACAGTTGCAATGAGACTAGGCAAACATGCATCTACATTTACAATAGTGAGCAACTTTGCTCATAGCCTGTAATTCTTAGATCTTTGTTTGATGTGTGGATAATTTTTCTAAGGGCAACATTTTCTAGTTCACTGATCCATGATGCTCCCACATTATTGATGAAATTAAGGTGATACTGAAAGTGACAGCACTTTCGAAGCAATCTTAAACTGCCTTTTTATTGCATGCAATTAGCAGTAGAATTGAGAACCATTTTCTAATATAAAATCATCAGCCATAGAGATTGCAAGTGAAATCCACTGTAGCGATCTCAGCCAATAAGTTTCAACTTCTCTTCATTTGCTGAAGTCTTCCCTCCCCTCCCCTGCTCCAGTTTTAGCCCCACAGAATAATGAGGAAACAGTTAAATTGGGCTAGCAACGAGTTTCAGCTGAGATTTATGGTGTTCTCATCTTCCCGAGGGACTATAAAACCACCACTGACATCTCATTCTGAAATCTTTTGTATTAACAGATGGGTGTGGCATGGAAAGAGAACTCTGGATTCAAGTGACAGACAAGTTCCATACTTTGAAAAAGAGTCCTTAACTCATATGAGCTTTTCTGATATTAGCTTGGAGGCCTCTCCAGCAGTCACTACCACGCCATCTGCAACACACTCCTGCCTGCAAAAACACTCTTTACATTTACCCTAAATATTTTAATATTTCACTCTAAATTTTGTTTTCAGTTTACAAAATACCTAGCTCTCTCTCTTCCCTGCCCTCCCCCCGCCCCAGCCTCAGCCCAAACCAACACGATAATAAAAGATAATAAACTGCCTTCAGTTCAGAACACTGGCCAAAACCTGACAAGCTACATTTAGTGAGCAACAGGGATTGACCATGCCAGAGAGCTGGGAGTTTAACTCTTGCTCCAGCTGAGTCTTTGATCTCCAATCCTGGGCAGAAGGAGAAAGACAGGGCAAAAATTGGGTGTTTGGGATTTGGTATAGCTTCGGGCAAAGCGCTCAGGTTTGACCAAAGAGCAGAGGTGAGTGCAGGATTCCAGCCAGCTCAGCTTTAAGCCTCACTCTGGAAAGCAAAGGCCTAACAGCAGCTGTCCACATCGCAAGAGAAAGGGGCTCCAGAAGGCACTGGGACCAGGAGAGCGACTGGATAGAGAACCGGAGAACTCAAGGGAAGTGGCTGGGAGCATTTCTTTGCTATTGCAAAGAAATTATTTCTCTGAGATCTTACTCCAGGGCTGATGTCTAAAGTCTGCAACAGCTGGTGGGGGTCCAGAGGGGGAAAGAAACCCACAGCCAGATTGTGAAGGCAGGGTAAAGCCAGGCAGCCCAGGGAGGGAGCCGACCTGGGTAGACAGTGCCTGGAGAGTCAGGCTAGGGAGCCTGGCACCTAGGGGAGGACGGGTCCCGGCAGGGTCCTTAGGCAGGGTCCTTACCTGTTCCAGCGGGCCACCTTCCTCCGGTAATACCGCAGCGCCTCCTGGCTGGCCAAGAGCCAGTCTTCGGGACCCAGAAGAGGCGGCTCCTCCGGGACTTGGTAGAGCGAGTGGGCGAAGAGGGCCTGCAGCTTGGAGCGCGGGCCAGAGTGGCCATAGCTGGGATGCTCAGCTCCGAGTCGGGCTCGGGAAAAGTTGTGCGTGGCGGTGCCAGGGTCCAGGGAGGCTGCGGCCGAGTGCAGAGACGCGGAGGGGGCGCGGCCGGAGCACGGACAGCTTGCAGGGCGCTCGCGGGGCCGTAGCTGGCGCTGCACTTGCGGCCAGAGGTGGAAGTAGAGGTCGGCGGAGAAGAGCGCGCCCAGGAGCAGCAGGGCCAGCAGGCGGTCCCTGCGCAGCCCGGGCATGGCCCAAGCAGAGACCGGGAAGCACTTGGGGTGCAGACAGAAGAAGCTCCAGGGATCCCGAAGGAGATGGAATGCTCACTGTGGGGGATTAGCTCCTTTTTGGAAAGGTGTCGTCCCTGAACTTGGGGACCTCGTGCAGGAAGCTCACAATGTTGACAGCGTCGCCTTTTCTCGCCCAATAGAGACACAGGGTTGGGGTTCTCTGGATACCCGCTTCTCGAGCCTTCTTTGCCCTGTGTTACCTCCCTCCCGGGGCCCGTGCAGGTGGAGGTCCCCGAGGCACGGGTGCTAGCTTTGGTGGCCGGTGGCCGGGTAGGGGTGGTCACTAGAAGGAGTGCAAAGGAGCTCTCTCCCCTAGGAGGAGGCTGGAGGCCACGCGTAGCCCCGGGTGTCTTTCCCAAAGATGCGGTCGTTCCGCAGCGGCTCCTTCTGCAGGCGACAGGGACTCCCCTGGTCCGGGCGGGCAGGAGGGGTGGGAACAGAGAGTTGACGAAGCGGGGGCACCCCGGGGCGAGCTTGTCTCAGCGCCTGGGCTCCTGGAGGCAGAGGTAACGCCTGGCCTCCCCCTGCCTGGCCTGGCCTGCCGCCCGCACCTCCGCCCACTCTCAGCTGGCACCTGCCTCTGGCGTAGCTTACCAGCCAAACTCCCAATCCCTCTGCCGCCGGCTCTGCCCTTCCACCTTGTCATCAACCTCTTCTCCTCCCCCATCTCCTCCTCTTTGCTCCAGGCCTCCTACTTTCCCTGCTCAGGGCTCTTCATATATATTTTGCTGGACTCAAGTGAGGTGGGCTGGAGCCGTTCATTTCCATTTTTAGTTTTTAGAAAAAAAAAAAAAAAAGATAATGCAAACCCTTAAAAGCTCCTGTAAGCTTTGCCAGATGTGTGTATTGGGGTGCGGATCTCATTTCTCAGCACGCTCCCTGCAGGGTGTAAACATAACAACCAAGTGCCCAGAACATAGTAGGTGCTTGCTCAGGAGACACCTTCTTGCCCTTTAAAAATAAGCCCTCCCCCCCCCCCTTTTAACCTAGAACCTGGGTGATTTCCTGTTTGGATGGAGTTTGGCTCCAAATCTGCCAGTACTTTGAAAAGAGGAAATGGCAGGGAGGGAGGGCCCCAAATGACCCCACTCCGAACCCTTGAATGCAGCTTGGTGTGAAGGCAGTCCACCCAAATGAATCACTGGAGGGTTCGCTTACTTAGATTTTTCTTCCGATGATATCCTGTGAGGTCATTTACACTTCTCCACCCGGGTTCCTTCCTTCTGAGGAGCGTGGTGGGGGGAGGGGTGGCTCTGAAATCCTGTCTCTCTGTTTTATAATCCGGGAGTATAGTAAAATGTGAGTCTGCCTGGGGAGGTAGCCCCACCCTGGAGAATGTTCAGGAAAAGGCATCCTGTCTGCTAGCTATTGCCTGTCTGGGCAGCAAAATGCCTATGTGTGTTAATTTCACTGGTTAAGGATCTCCAGTCTCTTGTTGAGATACCATCACTTGAGGTTTCACAGTGGAGTTGTCCCTGCCCTTAGTCAAATATGTCTTGTGTCACCTGCTTGCTGTCCTCTTATCTTCAAATGAACATGTGTGTTTGTGCATTCGTGTGTGAAGGCCAGAGGTCAACCTTGAGTGTCATTCTTCAGGAGCCATCCACAGGGACGTTTTTTAAGGCAGGTTCTTTCACTGGGAGTATGCATGCATGGATTAGACTAGATTGGCCGGTCAGTGAACCCTAGAGATCATCCAGTCTCGGCTCCCCTCACCCCCAGTGCTGAGATTATGAATCTATGCCACCACATTAGCTTGGGTCTTTATGTGGGGGTTGGAGACTAAACACAGGTCCTTGTGTTTATATGACAAGAAGTTTACTAATTGAGTTATTGCCTCAGCATCTTGTAAATAAAAATTTACCTCATGAGGTCATCCTGAGACTTAAAATGAGTTCAAGCATATAGACTGCTTAGAGCATTTGCTAACCTATGCTAGATAACAAGGAGACATTGTCAGCTGTAATGATTAACCCTTGTTTCTTGTAATGCACTACGTTAGGTTGGAAACTATGGTTTGAGAGAAAAAAAAAAAAACAGAAAAACTTGGAAATACAAAACACCTAGAAATACAAAACACCTGGAAACACAAAACCCCAGGAAAGGACAAGATTCCTAAGGCTGAGCTCAAGTCAGAAACCTCAAGACTCACTGTTCCCAGCCAATTCACATGAGCTAGACGTGGTCATAAGCCTCGGAGAGGCCTGAGGGACTTTGACATTTTTATCTAGAGTTAAATTTTAACAGGTGGTCAGTTTCCGAGAAAATTTAGAACTTCTGTTGTGTCTAATTAGGCATTATGGCCAGGAGATTAGAAGACCAGGCAAAGGATGACGGTATCTACAGTAATAGGCTGGTGGCATGTTTCCAGACTGGCAAAGCCACCATATGCCTTATGTCTTTGATTCTCCCCAGCCAATGGATCATACATCCCCAGCAGACGTTTTCATCTGACCCAGGATAGGAAATGCTATTTGAAACTTGCTTAAGGACTATCTAAAATAAAGGTCAAGGGCAACGCTGTGCATGGAGGTCATACAGGAAGTGAATGTGAAGCTAGGGAGAAAGGGCGGGCACTCTGTCTATAGGACTGGTGCAGGTGGTGGTGTCAGAGGAGCAGCGGATGGCGGTTGACATTAGGGTGTCAGCCCACCAAGAGGCAACTCTCTGATGGGTGAGTCTGGGATAACAAGGCCCCCAAGACCACAGACCCTGGAGTCTTTTGCTTCTGCTGTACCCTCACATGCTTGCTGCTGCCTTCTTTCCCTGATATCTGGTGAACGGGATGGGGTGGGGGGGGAGTTCCCCATTGCCTGTGGTGTAGTGTGTTTACCTCATGGAGACATCTACAAAAAAAAAAATTTGTATTTTTACCTGTGGATTATTATGAAGATGATTCCCTTCCTAAGATGTCCTGTCTGATGGATAATAATAATGTTAGATTAAATAGAATTTTGATGATAAAAATAAAACAGGGAAGTGTCACACAGCTAGGACACATGGGTTTCTATTGAGGAGCCCCATAGACTATGGCTTCGGCTAATGATTAAGAAAAACAATTGAGTCCCAGTAGCTTAGCTAGCTTAAATTCTTTTCATCTTAATGTTGGGATATGTGTTCACAGGTTTTGGAGTGCATAATAGCTGAAATGAGGTTTGGAAAATAACTTAAAGTTAGACTAAGATGTTTCTGTCAAATAGCTTTGAGGTGAAATGCCCCAGAAGACAATCTAAAATTTTCGGAAGACACATAGTTGAATGAGGAACTCATTAAGGTCAGGGAACAAGGACAAAACATCCCAATTATCATTAGCTGACATGCCTTTCTTTTTGGATTGGTTGATGACCAAAGGTGATGATTAATTCCTTATACCCACTTTTTGCCTTCAATCTCCTCATATAAAAAAATTATTGATGAGTGGGAATGTATCCTAAAGATTTAAAGTAGAGCCGACAGATTCTTTTTCATATATAAATGTTTAGATTTGTGATTCCTGTAAGATTCCTTATAAGATTACCTTGCAAGATAAGTAATAAAGTGATTGGTCCTTTCTTTGTAACTGCAAAACACAGCCTGCCAGTAAAAGAGTATCTTGCTTGTTTACACTCTGTTAATCTATAACAAGTTGCTTGGGTATGAATGAACATGGGTTCTTGGGATAATTTGCTTTTCATTCTGTAATGTGAAAAATGTTTGATCATGTAAAGGATATGGAAAACATGCTGTTTTTTTATTTGTATTCATTGTAATCATTCACTTGAAAATCAGAATGTAACCCTGTTGTGATTTTTATATTGCCTGGAAGATTTTGCTGGGCTATATAAACTGTAAGGGAAAGAGAAAAGATAGAGTTAAAGTGAATTAGAAGGAAAACATTAAGGATGAGTTAGGAGGAAACATTAAGAATGAGAGAATTAGAAGGAATTGGAAGGAGAACATCAAGAATAAAGACAGAATTAGGAGGAAAACATCAGGAGAGACAGAAGGGATATTTCTGGATAGAGATAAGAAAAAAGAATATAGAACATAGAATGAAGAATAGAGAATAAAGAAGGAAACTATTAAGTGCAAGTGTCTTTTCCCCTAATCCCCTCAGTTAAAAAAGTACAGGGCTGGAGGGATAGCTTATCCGTTAAAGTCTAGGCTAACAACCATGAAAAGTCATAGTACCCACCAACTCTGTATATTTCCCTTTGAGCCCTGTGTTGCTGGAGGCTGGACACCCCCCAGGCAGTGATAGACTGGTCATCTAGCTGCTGTTATCAGTGTATGCCCCCCAAATCTCCTTTTTTTTTTTTTTTTTTTTTTTTTTTTTTTTAGACATGAGCTCTCCTCTTTGTCTTCTTTATGTCTGGGTTTTCAGGTTTCCTGACCAGCCTGAGCTACATATTCTCTATCAGTGCTGAAGCCATTCTAAATGGTTTTCCAAGACCTGCCATTCACTTCAATTTCCTGCTGGAAACCCACCTCCCCCTTCCCATCTCTACTGCTCTTGGTTGCACCCAGAGCTTCATTGCATCCAGAGTTTCATAAATCTGTAGACATGCAGACAAGCAAGTCTTGTTTCTTGGCTTTCAGTATGGCCCCATTTTAGTGCTCACCCAAGCTCACCAGAGCTGGGTCTCTAGTGTGCAGGGTTTTATCCACCTTAGCTTTTCATGCATTGAGACCAGGCTGTCCACAGTGACATGGCCCTTCATGCTCTGGCTTCTGACTTCTTTTCCAGCCTCATTTCTAAACAACTCTCCTTCACACCATAATAGTTTCTGCAATTCTTCAAGGGCTTCAGGCTCTTCTACAGTCAAATATTTCCTTCCTCCTTTCCCAATGTGAAGAACATCAATTTCTCCATTTTCTACTGAAGCTTTGGGCACGTGACCCCCTTTTCTCTAAAGCACTTCCTTGTGCCCATTTAACTCAGTGCTATTAGCTTTCATGTACCACCCATCGCCCAGCTCCTCATACAGTTTTATGCTTTCATATTGCCCATGTTGCATTTTATTGTTTATATGTGTTTGGAAGTGAAATGCACTCCCTACATAAGTTTGTGTGCTGAAATCTTAGCTCCCAGTATCTCATAGTGTGACCATATTTGGAAATCAGGTCATTGCAGTCATCCTGGAGTAGAGTGAATCTTTAAAGGGATGTTTGGATGGGGAGATGTGCAAATCTGTACAGAATCAGGTAGCAATGAAGATAGAAATTGGGACAAAGCAACTACAACACAAAGTGTCATGAAAACTGCCAGCAACACCCCCCCCCCCGCCCCCAAATTAGACAAAAGCAGAAATCTCAGAAGAGACCAACTCTGCCCATCTCTTGAGCTTGGACTTCTAGCCCCTAGGACTGTGAGCTAATACATTTCTGTTGTTTGAGCTGCTTTGTGATGCCTTGTTATAGCTGCTCTTGCAGGCTAACACAGTGCGCATGCCCATGCCCCTCATGGAGCCACCACCTCTGAACACAGAGAAAGCAGAGCACTTATTCACAGACACAGATCTCTAAGTAAACAGACTTCCATTTGAGGGAATGCTTGCTGAGTGAGGTACAGGCATACTGGCAATCTCTTGTCAGTACAGCGTCTCACACAGGGCCTAGAACACCATAGGGGATTAACGATTGGTGGTGATAAAATGACATCATTTTGAACCCTGTAGGAGACACAGAAGAAATATCTGACACAGTTACTTCCTGCCTTCGAGCATCTCTTATGATCATTAGAGAGACAGATCTATCTGTACTTATAAGCCAATTAAGAAAAAGAAGGAGGTGATGCATGAAACAG